TTATATATATATAAACAGGCTAATCTGAGGTTGTTCTTCCATGAAGCAGCTCTGTTGTCCTCCATCCATATTTTCAGTTACAGGCTGAGTCATTTCTACCTTCTCCTCTCTGTCAACGCTCTCTGGTTTCATTTAAAAGAGTCGATCAGATATTGTCCAAGATTAACCTTCAGGGTAGATATAGCTCACTAGCAGCCTCGCACCGAGGACATATCCACGTCATCGTTTACCCAGAATGCGTTGCGTGTAAATAAAATGTCCCCGTCCGTGTAATAAATTTTTTTAACTTTTAGTTTAAAAATGATGAAAAAGTGAACATCCCACAGTATTTTTACAGTCTTTATTTTACAGTTAAAATATATGGTTATTAAATAAAGTCTAATGTTACAACTAATAAGGGATCCCTTTAAAAAAATCAAGCCACGCTTGGACCTGGAATCGTAATTTGGTACACACGTGTAACGTCCCGGGACCTAAAATAAGTGTCTTGGAGTAATGGTCCAATCCCCACTGGAAGTCRGCTGTTTTAGATCAAAGCTGCCAATATGTCCCTTTTCTTACACATGTATCTGAGCTAACTCTCCCTACAGATTTGAACATGCAGACTTCACATGCTGCCTGCTTCTCTCAACACTGACTGGTGGTGGGATGGTGTGGGTGTGGCAGAGTGGAGAATGCTGATGCTTTGCCATTTGCACAGCTCTAAATCACACAAACAGGATCCGATCTGAACCAAATTTAGTGTGCATCATAAGGGAGACCTGCTCAACACATTTGTGTAGCTTGACAAGATCACTTTAGCCCCCAGTCCGTCTGTCCATCTGTCTCTGTAATGTGTTGGCAAGGTTGGTATGAACCCCAGATGCAGGACTGAGTGAGGCTAGCAAAAATGTTTAATAAATGAAAACAAGAAGCTGATGTGACAGCAAACTAAATACAAAAACTTGACTAGGCATGACATGACATGAGCACAAACAGCAAACAAGGATCTGACAACAGACTGAGACAAGACAGAACTTAAATACATTGACAGCTAATGGACAAACTGAGAACACCTGGTGAGAAACACGAGGGTGACTAATCAAACAAATGAGGGGCAGCTGGACTGAGACACACTGGGGAACATAGAAACACAAGGAAAACCAAGGTGGAAAATGACAAATCATGACAGTACCCCCCCCTTAAATGATCGTCTCCTGACGATCAATCAAGGAGATGCACGAAACAAGGGAAGACGGGACAAAACGAACTCAAAGGCAAAACATGGAAGTCCATGGAAACACAACAATCATCCCCCACATGTTAAGAGTCCAGGGGGACGACCCGGAAACCATCCAAGGCAAGACCAGGCGGGAGCAGACATGGAGTCGAGGGAGGAGGCGGGAGCAGACATGGAGTCGAGGGAGGAGGCGGGAGCA